ACACTGAGGCCCAGGTTCCCACATGGAAACCCTAACAGTGTGTGCTGCTTTGTTCCTTCATGCCTCTCTCCAGTGCCAGATCTTCTCTCAGGAATCACATTCCTGGAAGCAGCCAGCAGTTCCCTGTCTCCAGCACAACAAAGACAGCTGGGACAGGGAGCTCCCTGGACCACAAGAAGCAGTCTGCAGGTCAGCCTGCCTTGTCCATGTGTTGGGGTTTGAATCTTAAATGTGCCTCAGTGCCCCAGGGACTCGAATGTTGAAGGCTTGGTCCCTGACAGCAATGTCAGAGTGGTGATTAAATTCTGAGAGCTCTGATCTCACCCATGTGGATGAATGCTCAATCTGATGGCCATATTGGGGAGAGGGGTGAAAGGAATTTAGGAGGTGGGACCACATTGATGGGAGTGAGTTATGGGAGTCTGACACTGGGGATATGTCCTATCCCAGGCTCCAGGTGAGTAGCTTTCTTCCATGTCACACTCCCACTGCCTTCTGTTCCTGTCTCAACACAGCTTAAAGCAATGGAGTCAGTTGACCATGGGCTGAACTTTGGAAACCTACAGCCACGGTAAACCCTTCCTTCTTTTAAATTGTTCATCTCAGTTATTTTGTCACAGTGATGGAAACCTGACTGACACACCATGCCAAGAGGTCATTCTTCTTAGGGTTCAAAGACCATCAAAGCATCAGTGATCTGTTCCATTTCATTTTCAAAGTCTTTTTTACTCCTTTTAAAAATTTCATTTGCTCTGGAGATGATGCATATGGGACTACACCTGTTGGTGGCATCCAATTACATTTTCTAGAAATATTTTATAACCTTTGATCTGTGATGTGCATTTTGCCTATGGTGCCAGGTCAGAGGTACCTGTAGGTCATCACTGCAGGTAGGGAGCACAGAGACACTTAGCGTGCCTGGAACCTGGGCTCCTCTTCCTGGCAATAGCTCCTGATACCTACCTGTTAGTGGTGTGCACAGGTACACAGTTGGGGCAGGTAGGGCTCCAGCTCTTTCAAAAGTTCTGAGTGGTGGGCTGGGGATTTAGCTCAGTGGCACTGTGCCTGCCTTGCAAGCACAGTTCAATCCCCAGTACCCCCCCCCAAGTTCTGAGTGGTACATGCACTCTCCCCCTTGGCACCTTCTACAAATGGTTAAATTAGCTCATCAGCTCACATGAAAGCTTTGGGCTGTGGTGCAGTTGTTTTGACTTGTATCTTAGATGTCCTCCAAATCCTCACGTAGTCACAGGTGGGGCTTTTCAGAGGTGGCCAAATCTACAGTATGTGATGCTGCGATTGTATGATGCAGGCATCAAGGGTGTATGATTACTAAGTTGGTCCATTGATTGGTTTGGCATAGTTCTGGGTGTAGATAATGGTAAGGCCCCCCCTGGGTGTGAGTGCTACCTGCCCTAAGGGCGTGTAGCCTGGATAGAATATAAAGGACAGAAAGAAGGTCATTTTTGTCACTTGCTTGGTGCTTGCTGCCTCCTGCCTTCTGCTCACCATGAACTGTTTCTTCTCTGTGATGCCCCTCTGCCATGCCATCCTGTCTTAGAGCCAGCTGACTATAAACTGAAACCTGTACAAACTGTGAGCTATAATAAACCTTCCCTCCTTTAACTTTGGGTGTGGAGTATTTTGTGTCAGCAGTAAAAAAAGTAACTAAGACAGCAGTATCCCACGAGACTGGAAAGTAAGTGTCATCAACACTTTCCATCTAGGTTTTGCAGATCCCTCTGCCACTGGTCTCTTGGATGCCTTGACAGAGCAGTGCTGGTAGATATTGGGACACTGGGCCTCTTCTATTCCTCTAGACACTGGCTGGCCCTGGCTGGCTCTGAAGGGCTTTCCAGGCCCTGGGCCTCCTTTTCTTCTTTTGGATTCTTAGGGTGTCACTATCCCCAAACCAGGAGAAATCCTTCCCTAGTACCCTGTGTGTGGGCATATATGTGTGTGTGCATCTGTGCTGGAAGTGAGAATGAGAGATATTTCTGTTATGTGAAAAAATTAGGGAATGGAGAAAGATGATAAGCAGCCCCAGACCAGGTAGATAGGCAGACAATCTGGGTGGTGGTGAAGGGCTGTCCAGTGCTGCATCTGGGACATGAAGGCAGCCCAAGTGAGTGGGGCTTGCTCAGGCTGACATGGCCAGCATTTGACCTTGGGATAGACGGAGTCTGGGGACCACTCTGAGCATTGTTCTCCACTCAGAAAGGTGTGCTCCCTACGCATCTGGTTTTCTGTTCTCGAGTGACACAAGGGCTCAGCTCCCACACAGGCTCTTACCACACAGGGTTGTTTCACAGGGACACTGCTGACACCTAAGGCTGGGACCACAGCTCTCTGCACATGGGACTTCCTACTACAAAGCCTGTGCTAAACTCTGTCATTCCTAGGTATCTACGGGAATTGATTCCAGGACTCTTTATATAAAACAACAGAACAATGCCTTATTTGCATGTAGCCTAGCATATCCCCTGTGTACTTCCTCTCTAGATTACTTACAGTATTTAAGGTAAATCCTAGGCAAGTGCTGTTATATTATATTGTTCAGGAAAAAAATGACGAGAAAGAATTCTGCACAGTTTTAGTATAGATGCAGTTGCTCTTTGATCATCTTGGTCCAGGGCTGGTTGAACACTTGGCACAGAACACTGACTATACCTGGATGAGAAGGCTGAGCTCTTCACACAGCTCCTCAAAACCCAGAGCTCTGGGCTGTGGGCACCCAAGTCAAAAAATGCTGGGCTCACCTGAAGCCCCACCCATCTGAAAAAGGCACCCTCTCCACCTCCCTGCCACCACTGCTCCAAGCCCCATCTCCTGAGTCCTCTCAGCTGCTCCCAGTGAAAGGCCCAGGGTCCAGGCTATGTGGGGCTGGATGCTGCTCAAATGTAGCTGCCCAGAGCAGGCAGCCATCGCTCCCTGGCAGTAGGCAGGCAGGTCTCAGCAGTCTATGAACCTCTAGAACAGCATATGGTGATTTGTTGACATTTAAAAGATGCAAGGGGACCCAATCACAGTACCCTGAAGAAGCTTTCTCTAAAATAAGAAAGTATACAGATTTCTCAACTAGGAGAAATTGCTGACAGCTTTGTTTTCAACCCAGCAGGAGTAAAAAAGAAGCTGACAACTTATTTTTATAGGTTATGCTCATTCAAGTCTATTTTTAGACCATTTTCCTAAGTCAGGAAACCAGAATAGCAGCAGGGTTGCAGAGCTCCGTCTGTCTGAGCGCTGGGTGGGTCTCCGGGGCTCACCTGACCCTCATTTCGCAGCAGCCCCCAGGAAGCCAAATGAAGGCAGTGTTCTTTGTTTCTAGACGTGGTGTTCAGGGAATGCACTCAGAACAGTCCCAGTCATTTTAATGCCTACTAAACAACTATTAATATAAGCTATTTATACACTCAAAATCATACAAATGCCCTTGACTTTTAAAAAAGCAGAAGCAGTTGTATTTAAATAGATTTCTTATTTATATTTACATAGATTTCTCATTAAAAGGCCATCCAACCCTATCTGGGTTGTTAAGATAAAAATTAACCTATGGAAAAGAAAGCCTACTCTGAAAACTATAAAAAGGCCCCTGCCCCCATTCTTTCCGGGGATGGGTGCCCTTCCCCCACCGTGCGGCTGGGCCTCTGCATGACTCATGCTTTTCTGTGGAAAGGCAGTTGGTGCCTGAAACACAACCTCAGGATGGAAAGCTGACATATGAGTAACCAGGCTGACTGGCAGCACTTGGAGTGACATTAGCAAGTAGGTTGGACTCACACACAGTCCCTCTGAGGGCGGTAGCCCTGCAGGTGGGGACAGGGTGAGGGGCAGCAGGAGGTCCCAGTCTCCCCAGGCCTGACCCTCCTGGGTACAGCTCCATGATATTTTGTCTCCACCATCAGCTTCCTCTACCCTCTTGAATAACATGGATCTTAAATACCACTTTTCTCTTATAGGTCAAAAAATTCTGCCAGGAACATTATAGATTAAATTGCTGTGACAGGCATTTAAGGTTTTACAATGCAGTTCATAAACCCATCCCAGTGTAGAGCCCCTCAGCTGGCAGAGGCTTGGCAGGGGCTTCTGGGAGCACAGTCACTGCTAGGTAGCCCTGACTGATTCTCAGCATAACCCCTGTGTGCCAAGGGCATGGGACCCAAGGACACAGCAAAGAAGAGCTGGAGCTTCTCATTATTTTGGGCTCCTGTGTTTTCTAAAACAATTACCAATTACCAAAAAGAAATCACACACACACACATATGCGCACACACACACACACACACACACACACACACACACTAAAATCCTCCTTAGGGAAACAAGCAGCAGAAACCATCCAGAGTGAAATTATGACACAGGATTTTGTAACCCACAGCAGAGCTCATCTGAAACTGGAGTACAGCCAGCGGCTTCTTATTTGCGTCCTTTCCAGGAAGTAGCTCTGCACTTTGTCGGGGCTCCTGCACGTAGGCAGTGGGGGACTGCTGAGGAACAGAATGGCTGCCTTTGCTCTGTGCCCGTGCCGGGTGCTGGGGGTGGGAACTCAGTTTCCCCAGGATGGCTCAAAAGTCGATGTTTAACCACCTTTCTGGCTTTCAATGGAGCCCGGCACAGGAAGCCCAGGGTTCCCCAAGGCTAACCCTAGCACTGAAGCTGAGAATGCACAAAGCTTCCTGGAGGAGGCAAAAGGAAGCCTCTCAGACAGGCTGTCACCTGAATGTCACATGTCATCATGTCCAGCCCTTCACAGATCTGCCTACAATGGCCAACACATGGAGCTATCAGAAGCTCCAAGAAACAAGGTCATTGTTTCTAAAGTCTGCTCTTAGGAAGGAAGAATCTTAGCTAAGGGCTTGGGAAGGATGATTATGAGTAAATTCTCATTTCTTGCATCTTTTATCCTTCATCTTCTTCCATGTGGCCCCACTGCAGGTGACCTGATCTTACACAGCTTCTGTGTCATGTAAATTGTTCAGAAGAAAGAAAACCACCATGTGTCCTCTTCTTTAGAACTTTTATTTAGGAAACAGGCTATGCTATTTAGGAAAAGTTCCCTTGTGTGGCCTGGTCATCTTGCAGCAGAAAATGACTGGACAGCTCCATGAGAATCAGAAAGAAGGGGCTCCCATTTTTCTGAAAGTTTTGAGCAGTCCAATATGACATTCATCATCTCCTGAGAAAGCACACAGAGTGATACATAACCAGTATGGCTTAAATGATGACTTAGAGTGAATGGTACTTTGTGAAATTCAACAGTTCTCATGGCATTGGGAAAATGGTAGTGTATCTGTGCCAAACAAATTTACTCTGTTGGTGGCAACAAGGATAATAAAAGGCAAGAGCTGAGTGGTTTCCTGGGGTCCACAAGTCACATCCTGGGGTTCTGGTCATGCTATGAGTGCAGAAGGGAAAAAGGAATGCATTCAGAACCTAGAGATACAGGAGCATGGATAAGTCAACATCCTTGCATGGCTAGCTGCTGGCATTAGAAGCTAAGTGTGGTGGGCACCCAGTCAGGGGTTCCAGTGAGGGCTGCCCATGACAGAACGTCACCCCAGCTCAGGGCCTTTGTCCATTCCAGGTATTTCCAGGGAGGCAAGGGCACCCTTCTCTCAGCTGGATGGCAGAGCAGGAGAGACAGGAGAACATAGAATCCAGGGAACATTTGAGAACCTGGTCCGTGGACTCCCTTTCCTCAGAGTTTTGTTTGAGCCAGGTCTGTGTTCCTTGAACCAGAAGATCTTGGACATGGGCATCGGCACCTTCCCAGTGCCCTCATCTCCATGGTAGACCAATTTCCTGACAGTGCATGGAGCTCTCACCTCTCTTGGCTGGTCTGCATCCCTGCTGGTTGGGAACCTGCAGCTCCTTCAAGCTCCTCCAAGTCCTCTCCTCCCAGAAGGCAACAGAATCCACCCAGTCTAGAGTCAATGTCAATTAGATGTTAAATAATGCACTCCCTGCCTTACACTTATGGAAAGCTGAAGGAAAACTTTAAGGGTCTTTCCTCCCCCACAATACCCCCAAGACCCTCTAAAACTGCATGAACAAAAATGAGGTGGTATATGAACAATGAGATGGTAGAGACCCCAGCCAAGAAACGCCCTTCAATATCCTTTCAGGAAGACGTTATCAGGAGGAACCGCCACATGGAGATGGTCTAAGGGGCTCAATCCACTCTCAGGGAAATAGATCCACAAACAGACGGATCTCTGAGCCTTGCTAGCCTGGCAAGCAAACCCCCCCTATTGTGTGGAGGACAGGTGGGATGCATCCAGTGTGTATGTCCTATGTTGGCAGGTTCTCTCCCTCCCTCAGTGGGCAGAGGCAACTCAGTGACATGGAGGCCATGGTTATGTAGTTCTTTGGCGCCACACCTGACCTGTGATCTGGACTCAGAGCTGGGCATACCTGCTGGACAGAGCTCTGGGGTGGTGCTTACTGAGCAGGGTGCTGCAGTGCAGGAAACACCTTAAAGCAAGTGGGGGCATCTTGGGGAAAGGATGGTAGACTGGGTGAAGGGTTGGCCCTGGTGGTGGTTGTGATGTTTAGGCTAGAATAGCAGCATCCCTTCTCCGTAGTGCCCATCTCCCTAGCCACAGGGGGACCTATGATCTTCACTAGGTCCATCAGCAGTCTCTCCTGGAAGGTCTTCTGAGCTGGAACTGAGTAAAGAGTGTTCCCCTTCTTCCTGGTGGTGAGGTATAGGGCTGGGATCTACCACTGGGTAGAGCCACTCACTCTTCAGGGACAGACCTAGAGAACAAAGCCACACATTAAGCTGCACATGATGGGAAATGCAGGGGTCCTTACAGCTCAGAAACCCTCATTCCACTGTCCCCAAGGAGGCTCCTCCCAGTCCTTTCGTGTTTGGGGCTGAGAGTCAGTGAATTTCCTTCTTCTTGAACTATTCTGAGTATCTGCCATTCACAGCAGAGTCCTAAAGGATTCAGCATATAAGATAGCACTGCACCGGTAAGTCAAACATCTATCCAAATGCAGTATTTTCATTTACTGTTTTACTTATATATACTCAGTCACCATGTAACGTTTCATTGTGTGTGAATATGACAGACATATCAGAAGGGGCACTGAAAACCAAACCTGATACTTTGAACAGCAAACTAGAATATACAAAAGTTAAAATCAATACACAGAAGTGCTTTTGCATGATCAATCTTATAGGAAAATCCCACTCTTAAAAACATAATCCCAAATAGGCTTTTCTATTTCAACGAGTTGCTTCACAACAGTTCTTAATCATGTACATGTTAAGAAGCCAAAAACACACTTAGTTATTTCTGAAGCACTTTATTCTGAGGCAGTGCTTGGCTCTTCCATCTTTGTGTGAGCAGAGTTATGTCACAGTGTTAATCATTTCCAGGATGCTTGCAGCAGGGTAATGAGAAACTTCTTGTGCAAGCAGGCATTAATCAGGGCCCAGCATTGCGTAATGCGTCCTGAAGCACGTGTCGTGGGATCAGAGCACACAGCCGCTTAAGGCAGACCAGGGTTTGTGCTTCCCACTGACCTTTTCCAAAGCAGAACTAGAGCCATGTGATGCCCGCTTCTTGCCAACACCAGCCTATTTATTGCCAATCATTAGGTTGGATGATCGGGAGAAACAGAAATTTCAGTTCCTTCAGAGTTCCAGGAGGAAGATTCTTTACAGTCCCTGGTTTCTAGCACTGCTGTGGCTGGTTCTGATGTCTTACTCAACATTATAAAGATATAAAGACTATCCTTTAGCACTGAAATCAAATATTTTGCTTAAGTAGTTCCTGGCATTTGTGTTAGAAACAATAGACATCACCTCACAATAAGATTATTTTATATGTAAGAAAAGCAAAAGGTGGAAGATGCTGGAAGCTGAAGACATGCACAGAATACATGAAATCTCAATCCACGGTGTTTGATGTTCTTGAGCAATAATGCTAGTGAGAAATTTACTTAATCTCACCAGTGTTATTCAAAGAGAACACTTGCGAAACACTTAAGACAAATATGCTGTAATTATTACATGAATAGGGAGCTTGTGTAGCATAAACTGTTTTTGTAAGATCAACACCAACTCTTGCTCTCCTGGAGAGACTGGTAATTAGCCTTAGTAACAATGGGCACTGTGTTTATGAAGTCCTGAGAGGCAGCAGGAAGTATGATGACTCACTGCAGTCCTCTACCTCTGGAGTGCGAGAATGGAGGGGGCTTGTTTTCAGTCACACTCAAACCTGCAAATTCTCAAACCTAGCCAAGGCCCACCTGGACATTCCAGTAGCCAACTAGAATATTCCCTAAGACATATTAGAAATAACAAATCATCAACTTTCATCTAATTTTCACCTTTTTTTTTCTGAGAAAAGGTCTTTTGGATTCCATCAGCAGCAAATTTTATTGTATTTGAAATCCTGTCCAAGTATGTTAAGTTCAAATTAATAAGCAGTGTCATGATCGTGTAAATGTGCAGCAGTAGAGCCTGAGTTTAATAGCCTGGCAGAAAAAATGCTTTTCTAAAACACGAAATACTAATAAATGCTGGAATGGCAATAATTAGCCTTTGAACTTGAATGGTGTATTTACAGCCTGATTTGCTTTGGTTTACAGTTGTATAGCCATGGTGGGCTGAATGAGCACAACTCCTCAGACTGTCTAACCTCGTGACAGAGTGAAAGAGCCTGACAAGAGCAGCCTACTTCTGGCTCCTAAGCCTATCCTCAGAGCAGACAGTTATAAGACAATACACAGTAACTCCTATGCTTTGATTGCAACTAAACTTTTCACATGGGAAATAAGGCATATGGAGCATTTTAAGCTGTAATAGTAATAATTCAAGGAATGCAGCTGTGATCTGCCAGAAGTCAGCATGCCAGCTTGCACACTGCATTTATCAACAGCAGCAGGACATGTACATAGTTGCACTGGAATCAGGGTGGGGTAGGAAGGGATGTCGGTGTGCACAGCACAGGGAAAACTTCCCAAAATTTGCTGCTCTGTATAAGCAATGAGAACACTAGCAAAATTGCCCAAAACAAAACCCTATCAAAACCTTTTCAGAACCTTGGAAATCAGCCCAGAACTTGTAAGGATCTAAGAAGCATTTATTCAAGAAAAGGGTGGAATTGCAATAAGAACACAAAGCACTGTGGTATTTTAACTTGTCTTGTTCCACTGCCCCTTCCCAGTGGTCACATTTACATTGGAGACAAACACTCTCACAACCACTGTGATCACATGTCGTCATCTATTTTTTAGTGCTCTAACAGAATGCCAGAGATGAGGGAGCTTACAAAGAGATCTGCTCCTTGAGTTTCTGGGGGCAGAAAGTTTAAGTGCATCAGTGTGCCAGGAATCCAGAAGCCACAACATGTGCAAGGCACTACTATGCAGGAAAGACCTACAGAGTCTCCAGCTTTTACCTCTGGCTGACTTTAAGGCTCTGCACAGGAGCAAGCAAAGACTAAGGTAGCTTGTCAACTGCCTGACAAACCCTTGACAGCATGCCTCAATATGTGCACAGCCCCAAGGAAATCACAGTCCAATCATGAGCTGACCACCATGTTAAACAAACAGAGATGTTAGTGGCCATACTCAACAAAGAATACAGAATTAGAGAAAAGGAGGGAATGGAATTAATACGAGAAAATGAAAGAATGGAAACAAAGTCTTTGTAAATAGGAAGGGGTGGAGGGGTCGAAGGGAGGGCAGGGGAATGAGAAAAAAATAAGAACCAACATAGATTACGTAAAGGTGCAAATTTCCAATGATAAATGTCATTATATTGTATACCTAAAATGTATCAATAAACTTAATAAAAACATTAGGAAACTAAATAAATAAGCAAATAGCAAGAACAAACAGCAACCATAAACCTGGGTTGAAGGGAAAAGGTCTAATTTCCAGAATTGCTACATTTTATTATTTTAAAAGTCTATTATTTAACAAAACATTACCAGATAGGCAAATAAACAAACAAATAAAAAAAGGAAACACAATTGAAACTACTCCTGACAATGTCCAGTTGTTGAAACTATCAGAAAATATTTAACTGTTCAAAATATGTCCAATGAATAAAAGTATGACAATGATACCTGACTAAAGAAATATCAATATAGAAAAATTTGAGAAAAAATAAAAAAGAACCAAAGAATAATTCTAAAACTGAAAACACAGTAACTGCAATGAAAAATTATAAGTAGATGGTCTCAAAAGCAGATTGAATATGGCAAAGGAAAGAATAAGTAAAGTTGAAGACTTATCATTAGAAATTGATCAAACCTGAAGAGCAGAAAAAGAACAAAGAAAAATGAAGAGTCTCAGTGACCTGTAGGATATTAAGTAACAAGCACATAATGGGGGTCTGGGAGGGAGAGGAGAGAAGTGGTAGAAAAGCTATTTGAAAAGATAGCAGCCAAAACAGGACAAAAGACATGAACTGACAGACTTAAGAAGATCAATGAAATAGGACAACTCAAAGACAGTCATGTTGAGACATGTTACAAATTGTCAAAAGACAGAGAATCTGTTGTAAGCAGCAAGATTATCTGCAAGGGACTCTCAGTAAGAGTGGCAGCCAGTTTTTCATAAGAAACTACTCAGGACAAAAGGCTGTGGGATGACATATATAAACTGCTAGTGGAAACAGGTTGTCAACTAAGCATCCTCTATCTAGACAATTATCCCTCAAAAATGAAGGGAAAATTCAGACATTCTAAGACACAAAAACTGAGAATTTGTCTTTAGGGGACCTGCCTACAAGAAATACTAAAGGGAGTCCTTTAGGTTAAAATGTAAAGACACTAGAGAGTAACTCACATTCACATCAAAGAATAAAAAGCACTGAGAAAGGTAACTAATACATAAAAGACAAGGTGAGTATATATTTAATTTGTAACTTCTTTTTCTTCATAAAGTAATAAGTATAAAGCTGCTCTGATGGCCCTATGATGCATAAAGATATAATTTATATGATGATAACAGCATAGAAGAGGGGAAAAGGTACAAAGCCACACAGGAGCAAAAATGTATTCTGTTGAAGTAAACTGGCATTAATCCAAAATGGATTTTATAAGTCATGAAATCAAGTAAAAAATGTACACCAAAAGACATGACAAAAAATTCAAATGGTACACCAGAAAATACCTACTAAACACAAAGAAGGCAGTAATAGGAAAGAGAGCAAAAATGAACATGACATAAAGAAAATGCGCAGTAAAATAGTAGATATGAATCCTATCCTAGCAATGATTGCATTAAATGTGAATGATTAAACATCCAAATCCAAAGGCAGAATGGGTATAATGAATAAAAACCACATGACCAATGTTATAGTATCTATAGGAGATACGCTTTAGAGGTCACAGTCACAACCAGCTTAAAAGAAATGACATGGAGAAAAGTACTTTGCAAAGTGTAACTAGAAGAGAGAATGTACGGATTTACTAATATAAGAAAAAATAAAGTTTAAGGTAAAATAGTTACCAGATAATGATCGCTTCTCAGCCTTTTGGCTAAGATCAAGTGCAATAGTTACCAGATACAAAGAAGTATGTTCTATAATGACAAAAGGGTTAATCTACCAAGGAGCCATAACAATTATAAACATATATGCAGCTAAGAGCAAAGCCCCAAAATATATGAAGCAAAGCCTGACAGAATTAAAAGGAGAAATAATAGATAATTAACGATTAATTTTGAATAATAAATCATACAATAACAGTTGCAGACTTTAATACTTCACTTTCAAAAGTGGATTGAACACCTAGATAGAAGACCAAAAAGGAAATAAAAGAACAAAACATCATTATAAACTGACTAGACCTAACAGACATCTACTGAACACTCCATCCAACAACAGCAGAATACACAATTCCTTCCAGAATCTTCTCCAGGAGAGACCATAGATTAGGCCATAAAACAAGTCTTAATAAAATTAAAAAGACTGAATTCACTCTAGGTATCTTCACCAAAGGCAATGGAATTAAAATTGGAATCAATAAAAAAGTAAATGTGGGAATTCACAAGTATGTGATTAAAAACCACAATCCTTAAAAAAAAACACCCCAAAATCCACAAAGAGTTGAAGAAAAAGTCACAAGGGAAATTAAAAGATACTTTGAGATGAACAAGAGCCCCAAGTGTTGGACAACTAGTTGGTCTCTAGAAGGACTCACAGCCCTCAGCACATGATCATACTCACAGTTCTGATTTATCATAGCAGAAGGATGCCAAGCACAAGCAGCAAAGGGGAACAGGGCAGAGCGAAGATCAAGGGAAACCAGCTGCCGCCAAGAATCTTCTTCTAATAGGGTAACACAGGATGCTTCATTCCTCAAGTGATGAATTAGAAGAATATGAGTGAGTTGTTGCCAACACCTCATTAGAAACAGAGAGCCTATGGGTTTTTCCTGGGGGCTTGCCAAGTGGTGTGCTCTGCCAGGCAAATACCCAAAGTCCATATTCCTAAAAGGAAAGCAGAAGTTTAGCATAATGGGAATCTCCCAAAACCAACTTCCCCAATGCCAGCCAAGAGCCAACCTTATAGTCCTTCCCAAGGACAGCAGCTCAGGCTTGCTATGTCAATTCTTTTCTACAAAATAACATACCAAAATGTATGGGATGCTGCTAACGCAGTACTTAGAGGAAAATGAATAGCTGTAGATGACTACATTAAAAGGAAGAAAGATTATACATCAGTAACTTTATACTCCATGTTATGAAATTTTAAAGATAAGAGCAAATTACCCCTATGCAAATTAAGTCTATAATAAAGATTATAATGGAAATAAATAAAGTATAAGAAAAACCAATGAAATGAAGTTAGTTTTTTAAAAAGATTATAAAATTTATAAACCAAGCTAGACCAATTGAGAGAAAAACGACTGAAATATTAACATCAAGAACAAAAGGGTTTGTCTAAAAAATAAAAAGCAAACTATGAATAATCATATGTAAATAATTTAGATAACCTAGATCACTGGTGGTGAACCTATGGCACACGTGCTGCAGCAGACATGAAGAGCCCTCTCTGTCGGCATGCAAGCCATATTGCCCCAGCAGCTGAGCACTGAGCTTTATTTGCAGTGTTGGCACTTTGCAATAAATAAATATGTTTTGGGTTGCAGTTTGGGCACTTGGTCTCTAAAAGGTTCATCATAACTGACTTAGATGCAATAGGAAAATTCCTAAAAAGTACATGAACTAGTGAAGCCAACTCAAAAAGGAATAGAAAATCTGCACAGAGCTGTAATGAGAAGCTGAGTTAGTAATCAAAGCATTTCCAATGAAGACAAGAACAGGTCCAGATGGTTTCCCAGATGACTTTTTCATCCAAGTGCTTAAAGTATAATTAGCATGATCCTATCCAAATGATTCTAGAAATAGAGAAGGGAACACTTCCTAAATCACTCTAAGAGGCCAGCATTACCAACCCTATTCGGTCAAAGACATCACAAGAAAACTACAGACTAAAATTCCCTATAAGCACAGATCCCAAAATCCTGAACAAAATGGTAGCAAGACACATCCAATATAACAAAAGGGTACACACCAGGATCAAGAGATTTATCCCAGAAATGCAAGTTGGAGTTGTTTTAATATCTTAAAATCAATCAGTGTAATAACTATATTACAAGTACCATATAAAACAAGTATCATGATTATCTCAATAGAGGCAGAAAATGCATTTTTGCAAAATGTAACATTCATTATTTAAAAAAAAAATAAACTAGGAAGAGGACTTCCTTAACCTGATAGAGTATTTACAAAAAAATCCACAGCTAACATCATTCATGATCATGAGAGACGTACAGCTTTTCCTTTAAAATCGGGAATACAATGAGATGTCCAGTCTTGCTACTTTTATTCAACATTGTCCTGAGGGCTTTTTATTTATTTATTTTTGGTACCGGGATCAAACTTGAGTCCTTGCGCTTGCGCATGTCCTGAGGGCTTTTGCCAGGAAAACAACTCAAGAAAAAGACATCCAAATTGGAAAGGAAGAAGTAAAATTACCACTTTGCAGATGATATGATACTGTTTATAGAAAATCCTAAGGAACCTACTTAAAAAAAATAATTAAGGGCTGGGGATTTAGCTCAGTGGTTCCGCCGCCTGCCTCACAAGTGAAAGGACCCGAGTTTGATCTCCGGTACCAAAAACAAAACCAAAACAAAAAAACCCAATTAAAACACATTTGTTCAGAGTAAAGGCATTCTAGTTCTACTAGATATCAAGACATAAAAATCAAATGTAAGTTTATGAACTAACAATGACACAATCCAAAAATAAAATTAAGAAAACTATTCTCTTTACACTACGATCAAAAAAGAATAAGGTTGGTGTGATGGCTTATGCCTGCAATCCCAGCACTTGGGAGGCCGAGACAGGAGGATTGGCATGAGTTTGAGACTAGCCTGGACTACACCGAGAGTTCAAGGCCGGCCGGAAATATATAAATATCCTGTCTCAAAAAAAAAAAAAAATAGAAAAAATATCTAATGAAATAAGTTGAAGACATACATGGGAAACTACAAAGCACAAGTGAAAGAAATTAAAGAACTAAACAGAAAAAAATATCCCACACTCATCAGTTAGAAAATAATATTGTTAAAAGGATATGTCTTAGTTAAATTTTTTTTGTTGCTGAGACAAAATAACCAGGATCCAAACTTAAAGGAGCAAAGGTTTATTTTGGCTCAGTTTGTAGAGGTTTCGTTCCATAGAGCTGGCTCCAGGGCAGGGTGGCATGGAAGGGGGGCACCAGAGAGGAGAAACAGTCCATGGCAAAGCAGGGCAAGCAGAAGGCAGCTAGCAGTGAAGTAACAATCAGCAAGCAGCAAGTGATAACAGCAGCCCTCTTTCTGTCCCTTATATTCTACCCACTCTACGTGCCTTTAGCACTCACACTCAGGGTGGGGCACCTTTAATCCTAGCATTGTACTGTGAATCAATCCCACCATCATAATCTCAGCATTACACACTCTAGGTCCAGCCACCTCTGACCTACGACTGCATGAGGCTTTGGGGGACATTTAGGTACAAGCCATAACAAGGTAATACTCCCCAAATTGATCTACAGATTTAACCAATGCCTTTCAAAGTCCTAGAAAACCTTCCTTGCCTTTTGCAGAGGAGCAGATATTGACAAGCTGATTCTACAACTCATATGAAAATGCAAGAGAACCAGAATGGGAAAAAAAAACCTTGAAAAAGTTAAAAGATTTGCATTTCCTAATTTTAAAACTTAATACAAAGCTATAGTAATTAAGACAGGCTGGTGCTGGCATGAGGTCCGGTGTAAAAGTTACTGGAGTAGAATTGCAAAGTTGGAAATAAACCTATAGGTTTATGGTTAATTTGATTTTTGACAAGGGTGGCAAGATAATTCAGTGAGGAATAAACACTCTTTTCAACACAGGGTCCTGGGACACCTAGATACCAACATGCACAAGAATGCATGTGGACCTACACACAAAATTAACCTGAAAGTGATAAAAAAGAAAACTAAATATAAAAGCTAAAGTTATAAAACTTTTATACAAAAATATAAATCTTCATCACCTTGAATTTGGCAGTGGTTTCATAAATGTGATGTCAAAGTATAAACATCAAAGGAAACAATATAAAAACTGGATTTCACCAAATTTAAAACCCTTCACACTTCAAGGGACTTGTCAAGAACATGAAAGGAAACCTACAGTGTGAGAAAAAGGTTTGTAAATTCTATGACTGATAAGGGACTTATATCTGGACTACCTTATGAATATTAAACAGTAATAAAATGACAATCCAATTAAAAATAAGCAAAGAACTTGAACAGATACTTACCCAAAGAGGATGTGCAAGTGGCCTACATGCATATAAACATCTGTTCTGTATCGTCAGTCATTAGGGAACGAACGGCAAAGGAAAAGCACACTATATCACCTCACCCTCACTAGGATAGCTACACTGAAAATGTAGGTCAGTACCAAGTGTTGACAAAGACAGGAAGACACTGAAACGCTCAAACACTGCTGATAGGATTGTGAAATGGTGCAGATGGCTAGTTTCCTCAAAAAGTTAAACATAAAGTTGTCATATGTTCCAGTAATTCCATTTTTAAACATCCCCAAAAGAAATGATAACATATCCATACTTGTACTTACACACATTCATGGCATTATTTATAACAGCCAGTTAGTGCAAACAACTCAAATGTTTATCAGTTGGTGAGTGAATGTGATTTGTAAAAGCAATAAAATATTTTCAGCAATAAAAAAGAAGTATTGATATATGGTACACCACAGATAAACTTGAAAATAGTATGTTCAGTTTAAAAATCTGACACACAAAGGGCTACATATTGCATAACTTCATTTGTACAAAATGAAAACAGGCAAATTCATAGATTAATAGTTGTTGGCATGGCAATCAGGAACGACTGCTAATGAAACAATTATGGGCATGGTTTACAATTCTCAGAATACTAAAAACACACTGAATTGTATGCTTTGAGAGACTTATATTACATGAATTAGTTCTAAGAAAGGAAAATGAGAGAGAGTGAGAGAGAGAGAGAGAGAAAGAAACAGGAAGAAAAAAACCCCACCAAGGTGGCTTCTCCTCAATCCCAACACCAAGGCTGCCAACCTAGAACGATGTTCTGAAGTTATGAAATGGAGCCCAAGAGCATATATTAAGGATTCCTGGTCCAGGGGCCCAAAGCCCTAGGATCCATTTCTGGTTGGTGAGGTGTGTTCTACACACATGGCCTTCACTCAACATCTGCTGAAGGTCACAGAACAAGAGAAGTGGGGCGGGCCAGCGCTGAGACCTGGCTCTATTTCCTGGTACCTTAACCCTACTTTCAAAGATTAACTTATCTCTGGAAGAAACTGGTTATAATTTAAAATGTAAGCCCCATTGAGTTTTGTTGTTGTTTAGGAAATTCAATGTACATCTTTATATCTACACATACAAACATGTCTTAACACACATGAAGCCTATATGGGCACAACTGCAAGTCATGCTAACTGCGTGGGCTTGGGGTTTTGAGTTTCCCAATCCTTCCTGAGCCTGGGCCAATGGCAGGTTCCCTGGAAGATCACACACCTAACTGAGCTCAGGAGAACCAGGCCGGGATAAGCACTCTGTGGGTCTTTTCAGGAGGATGGACTACCCATCACATCACACACCCCACAGTCCCACACAGACCAGAGGAAAAGAAAATAACTTTCTAGTGGTCTCCATACGCCTGTATTGGTGTTGAACAAACAACTACTGGAACCACCGATTGGTATTAAGAAAGTAATTAGGATTACTTTCTGCCAAGTCAAATGCTGCTATTTCCTGTTTCTGTGGCACGTCACAAGTATCTTGTACTTATATTTCTAAAGTACTCAAATTATGGCCATTCTTAAGCACGTCACAGGCTTCATAAAAAGTGTATTTCAGAAAAGTGTTAATCAGCAACTCAAAAGAAATGTGACTCAATGCAAGAGAAGCTCTTAGGGGCTGGAACTTACCTCACTTGGCAAATACTTAACTTTCTGTGAGCAGTACAAAAGCTTCATTCAGCCTGGTGCAGAGGCTGAAAGTGACTAAGACTTTCTGAAAAGGTCAGGAGAGTGCACTCACCAATTTTCAAATTCTCTGAAACTTTTCCCTGTGGACATCATCACTAAAATTATGTAGTCCCAAGCTACGACTTGATGACACGATGACTTTACTGCTTCTCTTGGAAGGTTCCGGAACACACTGTGAGTTGGTTCATGAGACTGCATTCAGAAAACACAGGACACATCAGCCTTTGAAATGCTTTAGGGACCAAGCTACTGAGGCATGGTGGAAGCACCATGTCAGAAAGGAACCAAGACCTAGACAGTTAACTGACCCCTCTCTCACCTGGCCAAGCTGACTTTGGGGCTGCCCTCCACCACTCCTCTCCCATGTGGGAGACAGTAGGACAGACATGGGAAACCCAGCAGGAAGATAAGCAAATGGGTTTTTTCCATGGAAATCCATCGTCCCAACCCTCCAAATCTATGCTATAAATATGGCATTCAGGCAGAGTAACTTTAAAAAACTGTATTAAAGAAACTGATACCCCTTAAACAGTGGGATTGCAAGGGTCATGGTAGCTAGCCAGCTCTCAGGCAGGTGGCTGCATTCTCTGCCTCTGGGCCCAGCCCACCTGCACTTGCACCTGTGAGTAAGGCTGTCGTTCAGACCCACCAAGACACAGGTGCACTATTTCACCAAGCTGTTCTCTAGCTCCGTCTCCTCTGAATTCCCATAGCAGCAGCCCTATCCCAAGACAGCTGCTTTCTGCATTAGCATCCTAGAGGAAAGCCTCAAGACTAATTTTAATCCTCATCTGTTGTGGCTCTGGACTTGTGGCAGAGCAGGAGGGAAGGGGTAGTTTTGTAGCTTCCTCCTGCCCCATTGCAGTTTCTGAAATTCCAGATTCAAGCTGCAGTTCCACTGACTAGCCACGTTTCCTAGGACTTCTCTTTTTTAAAATGAACAGCCCAGGTTTTGGACATGCCTTCTAACTGGCCATGAATATGAAATCTACCTCAACCCAGTGGGTCTCTTCTAAAATAGGAAACAGGGCCGGGGATTTAGCTCAGTGGTTTCGCCGCCTGCCTTGCAAGCGCAAGGACCTGAGTTTGATCCCCGGTACCAAAACATAAAATAAAATAAAATAAAATAAAATAAATAATAAAATGCCATCAGCACTTCTGTATGAGACCTCACAAATTATAAGGTAGTTTGATATAGACCACATCTGATCAGACTGGGTGTCTGCAATGATCATGGACTACTGAATTCCTTTACAATTGAAAAAGATGCTTTGTCCATGGTGTCATTGAGAAACTCGCCCTCTAGAAAACCAGAGTGAATTTGTGACCACCTCAATTGTGTGTGATGTTAGGAACTAAACACAAGACTTGACCCGAGTCCACCTGTTACTGGATCAGAGATCTTGTCCAGGTTCTTGATGTCCTGAACAAAGAATTGAGCAGGACACCTAAAAGGAGTAACAAGAACAAAGCGGTTTTTTTGCAAATGAAAGTACACTGCAGAGTGAGTGGGCCAGTGAGAAGAGCTCATGGCCCCAAAGAGGCTTGAAGTTGAGGGTTTTAAGAATTAGTTTGGGGTGGGATTGAGGGGTTGTGATATAGGAGATAAGGTATGGCAAAGCTGGGTGGGAAAATAAGCAGGACCTGTCAATTACAAGATCCTAGGACAGCGCCAATAATTTCCAGGACCCTGAATGTGGAACTTCTTGTGGGCTCCCATGAGATGTGGACATTTAAGGACACAGACGCTACAAGAAGCCCACTATCGTGACTCCTCACAGTAGTCTACTCTGCATCTTCTAGGCAGAATGTACTTTTATTTTTGCTTTTATCCTTTCCTCTTTGCTCAGCCCAAGTTTGCTCTACAGAGCTAGCTCTTCCTTTACCTCTTCACCCCTCAGTTTTCAAATAAATTTTTGGCTTGTCTTGTCCAATTCTCTGTTCGAGGCAAGAAGGATCTGGAACACTTTAAGTTGGCAAGCTATTTCTAAAGGAACTACCTGACAAAAGTTGGTCTGAGATTTTGCTCCTGCCAATGACAGGCTTGGCTCTGCCCCTCTATTGGGTGGTGGTGAACCACTGAGTGATGGTTATCAAAACTACATTGTCAATGACATGGTGATTAGGGCTGGTGCCAGCTAAGGGTTGCTGAAGACCACTGGGTGCATGCCTACACTTATGGTATATAAGCTGGGATACTAGTTACTTTTTCCCATTGTATTTACACCAGGATATTCTGGTCCTGGGTTAATGTTTAACTCAGAAGGTGGCTTTAGCCCAGAAAGTGGATATAATGTAGGCCTTTTCTTCTTTCTATAGCTATTTTCTTGGCTACTTCCTTCTCATGTCCTGGAAACACATTTGTGACTATTCCCTAAAAGCACCTGGGATGGTCTTGACCCACAATGAGCTCACCCTGGCTTCCTCTTGAGTATCACTATCAAACTATGGTACACGCACTCCGGTGGTGAGTGCTGGGTACAGAGAGATGCAAGGCATCAAACGATCACTATAGCATCTTGCTGATACACCCCTCATGCCCAACAAGACTGTTCCATGAACTCAATGGTATCATCACTGAATACAGATGGGGCCCTGGGCACAGAATGCCTAATCCTGCTCTCTGCCTCAGTTTCTTATATTAGAAATTGATGAAGCTATCTCTTAAGGTCTTGGTGAGCATGAGTGAACATGTATACAGTGCCTCATACAGAGGAAATGCTGAGGGTTGTTATCTCCGATTGCCACCCTGCCTGCTTCTGTGTCACCAGATCATTGGATAAGCATACTTTCCTTATCTCTCCAAATCACAAGATAATCATTGACAAACCAGGTCAAAGGACACTGGCTGACAGAAACACACCTATCACAGCCTCTGGTGATATCATTGTCTGGGTGTTTTTAAGATTAACAATGATGAAAGTCAATAGCTGTGGGTTCAATCCCTGACTCCACCCCATCCCTGCTATGGGGCTCAAGCAAGCAAGCTCTCTAGGCTCTGGTCCTCAGCTCACATCATGGGATGAACCATAGCATGTATCTTTTCAGGGAGGTTGTGGACAATAAGTAAAAATTCCTGCAAAACACCTGCTAGGCATGAAGGGCTTCACAAGGTCATTACTGTCACAAGACCCAGTCCCCATTTGCTCAGCTCATTCACAGATTATGTTCAGTGATCTTGTGAAACCATCCCTTAAAAATACATAATACTGTGTTTTCTTATATTTTGCAGTACCAAGGCTCCAACCCAGGGCCTCATGCATGCTAAGGACATGCTCTACCACTGAGCCACACTTCCAGCTGAACACTCCTCTATGTTAGGACCTTAAAAGGAAGGTTTTAAGAGGAAATTTACACATGCAGAGCTACCACTTACTGAGAAAAGGCCAGCCTCCCTCCAGCCCCCAAAGTGCCTGCTGCACTGATTTCTGTGGACAAGCGCCCAGGCTGGTCCTGGGCATGGTGTGTCCTTTGCATCCTTAATTTTACCCACTAGGAACTCAGTTTTCTCATGCTGCTCTGAGAATTATTTTGAAAAGCAAACACTGACTAAGACGTTTCAAAGAGGACTATGAAAATTCAAAGGATGATATTTCAAAGAGTGAGTTTTAGCACCTGACACACACCCACAACCCAATTATCCAAATCACAATGTGTCCAGCTTCATTTACATAAAGAAATGGTTCTTAACTATCAAAATGCTTTTCTTTTGTGACACAATTCTTTGATAAACTACAAGAAAAATAATCTATTGCTATTGATAAAGCCCAATAAACACTGACAGATGTATCAGTTAATGTTTAACTAGGTTGACAGATAAATAAAGGCCAGATTAAAAAGAAAGGTCTACAGCCAGTTTCTCTGGATCCCAAATAGAAGCAAATGTAGAGAATATCACTAGGGGTGGAAAAGGACCAGCAGTCAGCCAGCGACAGGCCCATATGAAAACCTGACTTTTCTCTGAGTACTACATCCAAGAATTGATAAAGTCAACTACCTAGGCTCCAGTACAAAGCACCTTCCTAAGCACTGCTGGAAAAGTGACCCTTTGCACAGGTCAACTGTGATAGCTAAGAGGGAGAAAAGAAGAACAGACTTGACTGATGGACACCCAGATCCATTATTACAGAAAACTTAAAATGATGCTTGAAATCACAGATACGAACCATGGAGAAGCAGATTCTTTTGGCTAATAGAATTCTCTTACCTGAGAACTACAGTCATGTGGAGACCTTTTTCATGCATAGGTAAGTTTTAAATTAGCCAGTGCTGAATTAGAGGCACTAGGTCTCATGATCTAGGTGAAATACTTTTCCTCTCCATTTTGCTCTCACCTCATGAATTATGATTGTGCTTGATCTATCCACTTCCCTTTCTGAACCTTCTTTAACATAATCTGAACATATGAATACATACACTGCACCGCCACATCAACTTATCTCTAGCTCCAGGACTGACACGATTCAGAGGAAGGACCCACACTTCACTTCACTGGAGCTGCCGTGAGCAGCACCCCAACTTCCAGGCTTGGGGTGTGCATCAGAACTCTTCATCAGCAAGACTGTTCTACACAAACAAAGTCACTTTCCTCTTGCTATATGAAGCCTATGATAGCTGACATCACCATAGGACTTTGTTTTCATACACAGTTCGTGGCTTAACCAGCACTTGGTAGGACGTTAAACAGTGGTCAGTCAGCAATAGCAGACTGGCCTGTGAGTCCAAGTCAGGAGAGACAGTCACGCAGCATATTCTCATAACCCTCTTCCCACAAACGCAATTACCCCCACTCAGTTAAAATGGAAGTGGCATTTCAGCATGTCACGGATGGGACAAAATAGCCCTGAAACTTTTACAGGTCTATCAAGACAAACACCACCACTTTTTTTGGAAACCGTCATACATGAAATGAACAGCTCAGCAACTTTATCAGTAAACAAGCATGCGCACTATCAGATATAATCACTGGGGAGCTCAAGGTGAATTTTAATAAGCTCCTTTTATATTATGGTGATCAACTGGGCTTTCATCATAAATCTGCAGGCTCAGCAGCTAAGGTGATAAGACAATAGCCCTTACATTGGTGTGCACACTTTAGTAAGGATGGCCACCCATCTCTGTCAGGAGAAAACAGCAGCTGGTCTGTCCACCTTTGTCTCTTATAAGAATTTTAGAATTGTAGGAGTTCAACTTCCCAAATTAAATGCTAAAAACTTTAGGATTTTAAGAATTAAGTCTATGCTTTTAAAACAGGATTGAAGGCTGGGGGGAGACTATGAATGCACAGTGGAGGAGGAAGGCACATGTGGGAAGCATCTGGACTGTACAGGGTCTGGCTGTAGACAGACACACCAAAGGCAAGTCTTGCCCCTAGCACAGCCAGGCTCAGAGCTGGGTATCACCGCAGTAGGCAGTCTGGCTTCATAAAGTATATACAAAGAAAAGTGACCACAAGTTAATGCCACAGTTCCCATTTTCCACATACCTCTTTATCTGTGTGTCCTCCCATCCTGTGAGCCTAGCTACAGACACTCAGGCCTCTGGGACGCTCCTAATTTGCCCTGCTAAAGGAAGGATGGCATCTTGTATCTGTTGGAAGAGGAGAATGGGCCGCTATGTGCACCAGCTAAGGCCAAAAAGTAGAGAACAGTCCATTGACCCAAGCCATCTCAGGGGTCCAATCCTGTAGGTACCATTTTTCTTTTCTCCTCTATCAATTGGCCAGGACTCTTAATGCTAGAGGGCCAGGCCCTGTGCTTGAAGGAGGTCTTACAAGTATGACTATATGGATCCCTGTGGGCTTCACAAGCTCTTTGGGCTTCACCTCGGACTGGATTAACTCTACACCATTAACACTGTGTTCTAGGACTATGTGAGGAAATTGCCTGATGCAATCACCATGGGAAAGTTTCTTCCAAAGTCCAACCTGCAATGATTTATTCAGTTAAAAAAAGGATGAGATAAGAGAAAGTTTCCAAGATTTCTTTTTCATTAATTTTATTTATATCAGGTTGTTTTCACTCAGAATATCTTATCAACTCATTTTTCAGTTGGATTATGTGTGTGTTTGTGTGTGTGTGTGTGTGTGTGTGTCCGTCCGTTGCTACGCAATAAGTTTGAAACTTTATTTGGTACAACTTCACAATTTTGGTATTCAGAAATAATTTTATTTTCTTAACAGCACATATACAATCTGTATTATTCCCTAGAGTGTGCAATATATAAATTATTCACATTACAAAATTAAGAATGGAAAGCCTCATATGCAGGAAATATTTAAAAACAAATACCTAATTTTAATCTGTTTTTGACAGTATGTACTACTAGCTTTATACATCTGGATGAACAGACATGATACACACAGGCATGAAGATGGGTTGGCTCCAGATGCTTCCTTCACGCACACAGTGAGCAGCTCACTCTGCACTTTGGTCACAGAGATCCCATGCGCTGAGGCAAAGAGCAGATCTGAAAGACACTTCCAGGAGTACACTTACTACAGTGGCACTCCAAGAATTTCTGCAGCTTCTATTCTCCTTTATAGCGAGGGGGCCTCTTCTCTTTAAAAGCAAGAAGACCTTCAAGTCTGTCTTTTGTTGGAATGGTCTAAGAAAAACAAAAGATTATATACCAAAAATTAAAAATACAACCCTAAAAATCTGTCAAGCATTATCTAAGAAAACTAATCAGATGTTCATTCTAAAATCCTGAAATCTGTCATTTGAATAATTCTCAATATTTGACTAAATTCACTGTCCTTATTCCAAATGTTTCATTTCAAATGTACTTAAAAAGAAATACCATCCTGTGTCTGTGTGGCATACTTACTACAAGGGATGAGCCAATAATGATACACTATTGTTAAGTGAAATCCAGTTTCTATTACAGTTCACTCTTGTGTTGTACTTTCTACGGGTTTTAACAAATGCATGGCATATGTTCTCTATCACACTATTATCCAGAACAGTCTCACCAAACTACATATCCTGTTCATCCCTGACCTGTTTCTCAAAACTCTCTCTACAGTTTTGTCTTTTCCAGAATGCCACTAAATTAGAACCACAGTTTGTGGTCTTCTTAAACGGATTTCTACTTAGCAATACGTATTAAAGGTTGCTTCATGTCATGCTGCATGATAGTAACTCACTGCTGTTTAATTTTCCACTGAATACATGTACCATGGTCAATCCCCATTCACTTGCTGAAGGACGTCTTGATTGCCTCCAGGTTTTGGCAATTATGAATAAAGCTGATTAGCAGGGTTTTGTGTGGATGTATGTCTTCAACTTATCTGGATACATAGCAAAGAGCAGGATTGTTGGGTCATATGATGAGAGTGTAATTAGTTTTACAAGAAACTGCCACAGTGTCTTAGAAAGTAGTCCAAACCATTTTACATTCAGGGTAGCAGGGAATCAGAGTTTCTATAGTTCTACATCCTCCTAAGTGCTTGGTGTGTTCAGTGTTTTGGATTTTTGTCATTTTAACAGGTTGTAATTGGCATCTCAAAATGGTTAATTTGCAATTTCTTTATGAATTATGTTTTGGCATCACTTCTGATTATTTGCCCTCTATTTATCTACTGTGGCACCTGTTCCAATCTTTCATCCATTTTTAATTGGGTTTCTTTCTTATTGTTGAATCTGAAAGTTCTTTGTATATTTTGGACACAAGACCTTTTCAAATGTTTTCTGCAAAAATTTTTTTTCTCAGTCCAAGTCTCTTCATTCTTTTAGCTGTATCTTTTTACAAGCAGAAGTTGTTAGCTTTAATAAAGTCATTAATTTTTTTCTTATATGGTTTGTACTTCTGACATTGTATCTAAAAAGTGAACTCCAAACTCACCGAGCTTTTCTCTACATTATCTTTTGTCAATTTTACAGTTGTTCATCATATACTTAGTTTCTGACTCATCTTGAGTTACATTTTGAGAAAAGCATAAGGTATCTAGACAACTTTCATGTATGTCACTGTCCACATGTTCCAGCACAATTTTGTCTTCAAGACTATCCTTTCTCCATTGAAATGCCTTGGCTCTTCTGTCAAAATATAAGTTGACTATATTTGTGTGAGTCTGCAAATGGGCTTCTGGTTCTGTTCCTTGATTTAGTCATTGATTCTTTCACCAGTACCACAATGTCTAGATTTCTGTAGCTCTGTGGTAAGCCTTAGGGTCAGGTAACGTCAGCCCCCAAACTTTGTTTCTGGCAGTACTGTTGTGGCTCTCCTGAGTCTTTGTACTTTCCATACAAACTTTAGAATCAGATTGTCAATATCTGACAGTTACTGGGATTTTTACTGATTGAGTTAAATTCATAGATCAAGTTGGGGAGAAATGACATCTTAACAATATTAAGTGTTCCTATCCATGATCATGGGCTATCCTCTTCTTTCACCAGAGCTCTGTCTATATAATTTTTGCTTAGAGATCTTGTCTTGTTAGATTTACACCTAAGGTTTTCATTTTTTGAGTGCTAATGTAAATGATGTTGTATTTTTAAATTTCCAATTCCAATTTTCCATTGCTGATACATAGGAAAGCAACTGATTTTTGTATATTCATCTTGTTTCACATAATCTTGCTGCAATTGCTAAAGAGGTTTTTTTATTGTCTTTGATTTTTTGGGATTTCCCAGTTTGACAATCTTCCTTCTCAACATGTACATTTTTTATTTTATAATTTTTATTTTTTGTCTTACTGCATTGGCTAAGGACTCCCATCTGATGTTGAAAGGGCACATCAAGAGAGTACATCCTGGCCTTGTTCCTGGCTTGTCTATTCTTGCCTGATCATTAAGTATGATGTCACCTCACCAGGTTTTTTGTAGATGTTCATATCAACTTGAAGAAATTCTACTTTATTCATAGTTTGTGAAGAGCTTTTATTATGAATGGGAATTGGATTATAGCAAATGCTTTTTTTTTGCATTCATTCATATGATCATATAATTTTCTTCTTTGGCATGTGATGGATTCCATGCGATGATTTTCAAATGCTGAATTTTCAAATGCAAATTGGTTGGGAGTTTAAATCTTTCTATACTTTATTAGACTCAATTTATTATCATTTCATTAAGAGGTTTTTTGGCTCATATTCAGGAGAGACATTTGTCTTTAATTTTCCTTTCTAGTAATGTCTTCCTCTGGCTTAGGTATTAGGATAATGCTGGCCTCATAGAGTAAGTTAGAAGTTTATCTTCTCCATCTATTTTCTGGAAGAAATTATGGAAAAGTGGTTATTTCTTCTTTAAATGTTTGATCAAATGTGTTTTAAGTATGTGTGTATGCATGCTTCTGCTTTTTGAGCCTGAGGACATTCATAATTTAATTCAGTCATGGCATTTACTCATCAACAACAGGTTGCCTATATATACAAAATGGACACAGAGTAACATTCTAGATATTGCTTCTAATTCATGGTGATGCTTAACTAGGGTCTGATGTAGTTTCCATTCTCAGGAAAAGTAGAACAAAACTCTAGCTATTTTAGATCTTTTGATGAGGTGAGGGGCATTTTCTTTTTGAATAGAAAGAACTCAACAGTATATAAAAAAGAAAACAATCATGTTACTTCACTAGTGAACTTTCAGTGGTCAGGAGAAAAGGCTCAGAACTTTAGAAAAAGCCAGTGAGTTTCAAGCACCACTGCTGCATGAAAGGCACACATTCCCCACCCCCCGAAATGAGGAGCCAAGCCCACACCTCTAAATGACAACATAAGCCTACACATACAGCTATGGCATAAACTGTACTTAGTTATTCTGAGTTTTCTAAATTATGGAGACAAGAGTCATTAGTCTACAGAACAGTATCAATTGTAAGAGCTGACAGCAGTCAAACTGCAGAGACAACTAATGTTAACTTACTTGTGTGATTTGGCAATGGGGATGATGATAATTTTACTCAACGATACATACTTCATTTGAATTACACAGAAGGAACACAGGATTTGGAAGGGTGCATCCTCATTGATTTTGTGATTGTATTACATACCTGAGCATAACAAGCTTCTTCTATGGCTAATCCTGTTACCAAGTCAACCTGAAAATAAAAAAATTCATTCCAGCAGAAATAACTTTTTAAATGAAGGTATATTCAATATAAATTCAGGTCAAACAGTCCTATTCCAAAAGAACAGACTCCTTCAATACAGTATACCTGACAGAAGTATGAACAGCTGTGAGACCACGAACCAGCCTCCCTGGGTTCACATTCTGATCCTATCACCTGGGCACTGTGTAGCTTGGGCAAGCTATTTAACCTCTCTGTGCTTCAGAAAGGTGTTTCTGAACAATGAACTAATTGTACTACACACTGAATGAGGGGGTGGGGGGATAATGTGTGGATTAAAGGTGTTAATCTAGCTGAAGCCTTTATAAAGCATCTAATAAGATATAAAGCCAGCACATGGTAAAGGCTATACACAATGTTGTTACTAATACTGTTACTACCATGAACGAATTGAAATAATCCAATAAAATATTTGCAAATTTATAATACTACATTATAACTAACAAATTCAATCTCATTTTACTGGGATAAAGTCAAGGAAGATATAGAAGCTTAATATATCTTCAACAAGAAAGCAACTTTCTTCAAAGTTCCCTAATTTAACCAAAATGTAACAGCTGTCATTAGAGATCCAAAGTACATGAGTGCCTGCTCTGGCCCTGACCCAGGGCCCCACTCTCTCGGGGACTGCAGGATGCCCTACAGATTCACCTAGTTTATGATTCTCTTTGCAAGAGCCATACTGAGAAGTTAAAGGTGAAGAGAGCTGGACACGGTGTGGAGCTGGCAAGTTTTCCTTGGAATGTGTTTATAATGTGATTGTGACAGTGTGAGTATGTGCAATGCCATTTATGGATATATACATGTATGTACGTATGTATGTATGTATGTTTTCTAGGAACTATTAGCCAATGAATCCATCTTAAAGGCAAAGATAACAAACATGTCATAAGCTGCAGGACACTGATGCAATTCTGAATTCTGTGACTGTGATACTGAATCAGTAATAACCAATAGGCAGAATGAAATTAATGATTTAGCTGAAAAGAACCTCAGAGGCTTTCAGTCATAGTTGTATTCAGATACCTATATTTTAGGACTTAAAAATAAGGCAGAAGTCTCAACATGGTGTGCTTAGATTTAATTTCTACTACATTCTAACAACAAACTTGAGCATTAAGGAACTTACCTCCATCCCTTGATTAATTGCTAACTTTGCCACTCTCATTGCAACAGGTCCCTGAAATTCAAATTAAAGAAACAAATTTTATTATTTATGTAAGTTATGCTGTATATCTCAGTACAATTCAAAATGTTGCATGACTGGATCCATGGCACAGTCAACAATAGGTGTGAGATGCTATATGGAAAATTTCTTTTTTAGCTTTGCAAGGTCTCAAACAGCAACTGTAACAGCTGAATTGCATCAGTGAAATTTAGATGTCACAGGGTTCTGTTATGCAGCAAACTCTAGATCACTGGTAGCAAACCTATGGCATGTGTGTTACTGTGTTTTTCTTTTAAGACAAAAGATGTTATTGCATGAGTTGCTGTTTCTAAACTAAAACCTCAGTATTCAGGTTTAACTGCAGTGTTAGCATCTTGTGATAAAGAAGTGGGTTTTGAATTGCAATTTGGCACTTGATCTTTAAAAAGTTCACCATCACCATTCTAGATCCTAGAGGCATCAGAAAGCGCCTGTGCAGGTAAAAGTGTAACATTCTGTAGTGAACCTTCCTCAGAATTAAGGAAAGGAACAGGAAGTCTCTGGCTCAGTACCATGAAGTAGTGG